CAACAAATCCGATTAAAATCGCACAATAAATAAAGATTTTACAGGGTAGAGACATACTTTTAAACGGCCCAGGGCATTTTCCACCTCATACTACTGTAGATTAAGACTTTTTATATAAAGTAAAGTCAAAAATTTTAAAAAATCTCACTTTAATAGGTAAGATGGGTTTTTCGCCTTTTCCTTTTTTTCACCTGAAATTATGAAGGTGCAAAAGTGGCAAAGTTGGATCTGTTACAAATCCAATGGGATTAAATCTTGGTTTTAGGGGGATAGTTGTGCTGGTAGGTATTGTTTAAGATATTTCTTTATTAAAAGATCTTATGAAATTAAAAAAATCATTAGCTGTGGCTTGTAGCTTTATCATGTTGTATAGGGTGACAGATCTTATTTTCTCAGACAATAATTTCTTAGGACAAAATTTCTTAGTAATAATTTCTAATTGCAATAATTTTTTAATGGAATAATTTTTCACTACATTAATTTCTTACTTAAATAATTTCTCACTGCAAAAATTTATAAATAAATTACTATTGTATAAAATTATTTGAGCCTTTATTTCCTTTGTTTAGGTAGAGATTATTTGATTTTGTTAATAGTAATAAAAAAAAACGATTTTTCAGAATGTTGTATATATTTTTTAAATATATTTAATATAATCTTCTGTTTAGATAAGCCAATGACAGAAACAATATTTCTGAAAATATCTTAAAATAAAACTACACAATGTGTCTCAACAATTTTTGATGATACATTTTTATCTAAATAGGTCCCCAAATAATGGTTTGGTTGGGTTAGTTAGCTTTGGTTATCATGCATATTACTCTAAATCTCCTGTAATTATGCCTAATAATATTATTTTTTGATGCTTGAATTTTTACAGATGATGGTAAGTTCTATCTAAAGGTAATTTTGTTTACAGTTATTTTTGCTTTGAGACATTTTTGCGTTAAAAATTGTTGCTTTAGGAATTTGAGGTTTTGAGAAATTTTTGTTATGAGAATTTATTTCTTTGAGAAATTTTTTCAATGAGTTACTTTTATTTTAAGAAATGTTTGCAATGAGAAATTTTTGCTGAAAAAATATTTTTGAAAACATAAGACTTGGAGCCGTTGTTTACATACAAAGTTGTTTTTGTATTTTCACCCTTAAACTTAACATAATTATATTTTGCGGGATGGGAGTCCACTCAATATAAAAATGGATAAATATAAACAAACAATCAATCAATTAAACTCACGACATCTCGAAATTAATATCAAATCAAATATTGATTAACCTATTTCACCATTTTATATAAACTGGGTATCAGAACTCATGTCTTTAGAAAAGGGGTAGATAGGTAACTCTTGAGCTATAAGGAATCCACAATGTAGATTCTGTATTGTAAATATAGTCAATAAGTATAAATCAATAACAACAAAGAAGTTGACCTATGCCTAAAAGTTTTGCTTTGACAAAAGTATATCCCAGAAGGGACATTGTCTCTTCTACTTCTCCAACTTCGACAAGAAATTTGTTTTTATAGATTAGAAATAAATCATTTTGTATTAATACATAATATGTGGGCTATTATATTCATAATTTTATTATAGCTAAAATTTATTACATTAATGAGATACTTAAATCATCAAAATTTACTGAAAGGGAAAATGACAGAGGTATACATAAACTTCTTGATAAAAAAATTATAACTAAAGCGTATCCTCTTCACGATGGACGAATACAGTTTAACATGATGAACGATGATGATCTTCTAAATGATAGAACTTTACTGGCAAAATATTGGGCTAAATTTAGTCTATTTTACAAAATGCAACCATTGGACATGATTAAAAAATACTACGGTTTGGAGATTGCTTTTTATTTTGCATGGTTAGGATTTTATCTTAAAATGTTAATGCCAATTGTTATTATTTCACTTTTTATGCTTATTTGGACAGTTCTTAGGTAACCTTTTAATTATTAATACTAACATATTACATAAAGTGTATTTTATTTTTTAGATTTCTTGGCGACAGTACCAATATAATCGAGAAGTGTACAGAATCAGACATGCAATTGTGTGGGTATTGTGTGATTTTTTCTAAAAATTCCGATAAAAATAAATGTTATACATTAAAATTAAATAAAATGTGTGTCAATTTTGGATTAACAGTAATGTTTGAATATAAGTCATATTTGTATTCTATCGTTATGACTATATGGGCTGGATTAGTTTATACTTTATGGAAAAGGTAAATCTTGCATTTTGATTAAATAAAATTTGTACTTAGGAAATACACAGTTTATATCCTTAAAAATTCGCGAACCGGTAGTTTATCAAAAAATAAAGGGAGCATTCCGTGGTTTAAACGGGAAACTTTGTACAAAATTAATCTGTAACTTATATAGGGCTTGTTTTCAAAAAATAATCCAAACATAAAAAGCTTATAGGTTAAATATATTTTTTCTGTTGGGATACCAGTGTATGATGACGCTGATGGGATCAACTATACGTTACTCATACTCACACGCATTTGATGAGTGAGTGAGGGATTATGTTTTGCTGAACATGTAGTTCGTATCGAACCAAAAATTTATTAACTATATTACATCTTACTACTTTTTTTTTTAAATATTACGATAAAAAGTTAATAATAAAAATAAGTTAAATTTTGCATCCTATTTATTATTTTATGAAATTAAGTAATGTTGTTTAGGAAGGACCTTTTTTAGCAAATTAAGTTAGTTAATGTTTAAATTTTTTTAATTGAGTTTAATACTTATTTTAATAATATATCATAGGCAACTTTTTTTGTTATCATAGACATTTTATTTCCTCCTTATCAAGACTTAATTTAATTTAATTAGTTTTAATCTGCTGTTAGTGTGATAAAACATAATAATACATGCAAAATACGTTGTTAAATTAAATGTCAACCATTTCATAAAATAATTCTGGTGTTAAATTTTTATTAATGTTTTTTAAATGTATACGCTATAGCGTGATATTAATATAACACCACACAAAAGTTTTATTGAATTTAAGTTTTATATTTATATTAAATTTAACCAGGGGCAGATAAGAAAAAAGTTTGGTTGGTTTTACATACATTTTATATTTTATTATTATATATTTTAAAATATAAAAATATAACCTAAAAAAATATACTCTGTATCTTAAAGAGGGCGCAAAAGTTTACCAAAGTTTATTTAACAAACTTCCTTTATTTTTTATGTGGTGTTCCTTGAGGGTATTAAGGAGGGTTTCTACTTTGTTGGGTCAAAAAAGTCAACATATGTAAAAAATTTACTATGGTCCATTCCCAAATGTCCCATCACGTGACTGGTACAAATAATTAAGGTTAATACACATATTAATACATACAAGGGCTTTAACATTTGCAAAATTTACACTTATACATCCAGTGGCGGTACGTGAAATGGGAAAAATATATTTTTTTTACCGTAAATGGCTATAATTTTATACTTTTACGAATGTGAATTAAAAATAAACTTAATTTATCGTTAAGGGCTTTAACATATCCAAAATATACACTTATACATCAAGTGGCGGACCCATAAATGGCTTATAATTTTTCAAATGTAAATTAATTTATCGTTAAATTTAGATCCAAATATAATGCCAAAGCCTTCTTTTTTGAAAATGGTTTTTCATATGAAGGATTCCCCTTTTTATGTACATATGAAACTCCTTCCATGCCAAGTCTCTAAGAATTTGGGTTTTTCTTTGTTTTGATTTATCGGAACATTCTGAAAACAGTTTTTCAGGTCTTTCATTACATTTCTTTGGTGTTTTGATTTCTGATTTAAAAAATGGATGTTCAAACCAAGCTGCGTATTTAGTCAATTTTCCATTTAATATGGAATTGACTATATCTCAAAAACTGCTCCACTTTCATAATAGAGAGTATAGATTTACAATTAAATATTATTACCTACATACTAGCATTATATCGCAAATTATTTTGTCAAATATTTAATAAATCTAATTAATAATTTTTGTAAGCTACTAAACATTTACGTTAATTACAATTTATTTCAAGCTTATTTTAACAAAATAATTCACATGACTCAAATTTGAGTACATTAATGTACACGCCTTAAATTTTAATATTCCCTATTTCTTTGAAACTGCTGAGTTTTAATACATTATCATGCTTAAGTGGGTTGAGATACATTAAAACCCTAACAAACTTTAAGAAAATAGGAGGTATCAAAATTTTATGCATTGTTTTTTTAGATATCAAAAATCATTAAGAAGACGTTGGAATATAATGGAAACCGATAATCAAATGGAAATACGGCTATTATACATGAAAAAACAAAAAAATAGACGTAAATCGTTAACAACAGGAAAAATAGAAGTGTATACGCCAGTTTTAGAAAAAGTTTACAAAATAATTGTAACTTATTTAGTTATACTTGTTATAGTTGCATTTTTGGGACTTCTACTTTTTTTAAATATAACTCTAACTGATTGGTTGAAAATATCTACAATTTCCAACATATCCGAGCTGGAGGGAAAAATAAGTGGCATAGAAATGATGGCTGATGCTTTTACAATAACCATTCAGTTTTTAATTGTGAGAATTGCTTGGACTGGGCTTACTAAATTATGCACGAAATTAATGCTTTTTCAAAGACAAAAATATCAGCAAGACCACGATAAAGGATTTCTATTTTTGCGTTATACTTGCGCTTTTATAAATCAATATCTTATATTTTTTTACTTTGCCTTTTTTAAAGGGCTAACTTACAATATACCAAAACACAACTTTAAAGGATATGTTCAATATGAAAAATGTCAAACATCATCTTGCATCGATATACTATTGATAGTTTTGAACATTGTCGCTGGGCTATTTTTTTTTGGAAAACTATTAGAGTTTTTTACAATTAAAAGGAAGAAAAAAAATCGTTTTATTAATTTACCACAATTTGAAGAGGAATATAAATTTAACACCATAAGTATTTATCATTTTTCAGTGGAGTATGTGCAACAAATGATTTTGCATGGGTTTCTCGTTTTTTTTGCTACTGGAAATTTTGCTGGATCCTTATTTACTCTATTTAATTTTTTGGCCAGATTACGATTGGATGCTTATAATTTTATCTATTCAAATCAACGTCCTGTCCCAAAAGTTTGTATAGACATACAAACGGTTCGCAAAAAGTGATATTGCAAAAAAAATTAGTGTTTACAGATTTTAGTAGCAGGACTTTTAACCTATTTAGTTGTATACTGGGTGACTATTTTTCCTGATGATGTAGTCTTTAATATAACCTAACTTTTTTTCGTAATGCTGCTAGTGAAAGGACCCCGCACTAATCCTATGGGAAATGGGTCCCGGTGGATTTGGCTTGATTTCACGTATATTGTAGAACTTAATGATACAAAAATGGTCAGTTTCAGATATTTTAGAGTGAACCTATTTTTTATGAAAATAATATTGGGCTATGGTGGGTGATACAGATTTTTTTGTAATTTTTGTCACATATGGTCTGCAAAATTTGTCTTGGATGTACCTAATTACGCATACAAAAGTAAAATGTTTCAATTAATGTCTAGCCGCACTCACGGAGAGTAAAAGGGGCTAATTTTCTATTAGTTTTTATTTATTTGGGGTAAATAGATAATATTTTTTTTTTATTTCTTTTTGCAAGTAATGATAATCAAAAGAAAATTAAATGAATATTGAATATCTGCACCATTGTCCATTTAAGCAAGCCATAGTATCGCCTATTAAAAAAAAGGTTACCCAATTTTATTTGAAAACTATCGGCCTATAAGTTTACCGCCGTCTTTTCAAAATTTATTTAAATCGGCAATGTGTATACGCCTGTCAACAATTTAAATTTAATAATAAAATTTAAAAAACCCGTTCCGAGGATTTGAAGGGGGGACCAAAACAGGGACCAAAACAGGCCATCCTAACTTCAAAATCTACTTTGATACCTTGTTCTAAAGGCCTTTTAATTCTCTAATTATTTAATTTTTAAGGGTGATGAATATTCTTCTCTACAAAAAAGTGAGGATTTTCATCACTCCAGTAGGTACCTACACTCGATGACAAAATTAACCGGACACTTCATTTTTCTTCCACAAAATTTATAAAACGCACTGTATATTAATTCAAAAGCTATGCACATATGCAGACAAATAAAATTAAATGAGTTTAAGTTTTTTTGGCTTTCAAATATCACGGGGACACTTTTTTAGCAATTTTTTCAAATCGTTTACGTTTCACAGAGCTCTACAATTCAATTTAATTGCTGTTTGCTTCGAGTTTCGAAGGTTGTTTAAAGAATATAATAGTGTTAGAGGTGTATAATTGTGAATTATTGTAAAAAATTCGTCATGACTCCGGAAGAAGCTGCTCAAGCTGTTGCTCTCCACAATGCAGGACACAGTATCCGATTTATCGCCAATTTGATTAATGTACCGCGAAGTAGAGTATCTGATGCGATACAAAGGTTCAGGGAAACTGGTTCCTACTCAAGATTGCCTGGACAAGGAAGACCACAATTAACAAACGCAGTTGAAGACCGTTTTGTTCGACTCCAAGTTCTGCGAGATCGGACACTTCCTGCTACAGCTTTGAGTAGGAGATTGGCAGACGTGCATGGGACCTTGGTTTCATCACGTACAGTATTAAGAAGGTTGAGAGAGCAAAATCTCACTCCTCATACAGCTGCCACTGGCCCTCTTTTGGATGCAGCTCATCGCAGACAGCGCTTGGAATTTGCGCGCAGTCATGTCGAGTGGGGTATGGAAGAGTGGCGATGCGTTCTCTTTACAGATGAGTCCCGTTTCACGAGATATGCTTCAGATCGTCGTCAACTTGTGTTTAGGAGACCTGGGGAGCGATATAACCAGTGTTGCTTTGCTCCAAGAGTACAATTTGGTGGTGGCGGTATAATGGTATGGGCAGGCATATGTTTGGAAGCTCGTACGGCCCTTGTTACTTTTCGGGGAGGCAGCATCAACGCTGACAGGTACATTAGGGAGTGTCTTGAAGAGCATGTGGTACCTTTTGCTCCATTTATAGGACCAAATTTCTTGTTAATGTAAGATAATGCTCCACCGCACACTGCCCGGGTAACTCGTCAGTACCTTCAGGATGTTGATATTCAGGTGTTGGGGTGGCCACCAAGGAGTCCCGACCTAAACCCAATAGAGCATATGTGGGACAATCTAGGAAGAAGGATTACACGGAACTATGGCGAGTTTCACACTGTGGTTCAACTAGAACCAGCTCTGTTAAATTAATGGGAGCAGATATCCCAGAATGAGGTTGCTGGGTTAATAGAAAGTATGCCACGAAGGATAAGAGCCGTGATTCAAGCTCGAGGAGGTAATACTCACTATTAAAGATTTTTTGAGACATCTTTTGCAAAAACATTTTTTCAAATTTTGAATTTTTTTATTTTTAATGTATATTTACAGAAAACTTTTTGTTTTCCTTTTTTAAAAATGTTTCAATCCAAACAGAATTTTTTGAAAGGCGTGTTTCTCTATATTCTTGCCGAAGTGACATAAAAGGGAAAATTGGAAACTTTTCCAATTTTTCAATTTAGTTTTCATGCATTATGCATAATGCAAAAATTTAAAGCATATATTATTATTAATTAATACAAAATGTTAAAAATTGTTTACTTCTATTTGAGCTTTCTCTACCAGTTTGCGAGGTTATTCTCTTTTTTTATTTTTAACCAATCGAGTATCTCTAAACTTATCCACAATATTCTAAACTTGAGTATATCTGGATGTCTCGCTCGGAACTCCGCAGCATTTCTGAAGGTATTTTTATTTTGCTCACCATAAAAAAAATAATTTCGATACGTTCTTCTAAGCTGTACACCATTTCGCAAAAATACAATAATAACAATACTAATGATTGATTTTGTTCACTGGTAAATCAAAAACGTCACCTACCATATGAACTGCAAAAAAATATTTGTTTATTGAATCAATGGTGGCAAAAAATTGCAACATTACAAATTACAATCTAATATACAGGGTGTTATGTAATTAATGTTATATATTAAAATACTGAATACCTTTTGACATAAGGAATAAAGGAAAAATATTTAAAAAAACATTTTTCTAAAGATAAAGAAAAAATATGCATTAGAAGTTTTTTATATTTTTTGTAATACGCCACTTAGTTTATCTCTGCACACTTGTATTTTGTGAGTACATAGATACCAACCAACAAAGTAGCTATGCGTTGCCAGATGTAAAAAATTGTCACTAAAAATTTTTCTTGCAAAAAATAAATAAAAACTCAATAAATACAAAAGTTTTATGCCCTTAAAGCTCTAATACCCTTCTGTATTTATTTACTGATCCAGCTATTAGCTTAAGCAATGATTAGAAAATTTAGTACCTTTGAAATTTGAAATCCATAACAACAAAATTAATTTTTTCATCAGTTTTTTTCTCTGTTTACTCAGATGAAATTGGGACCAGTTCACAGGTTAAACTTTAAACATTTAATTTGTGTAAATAAATCCAAAAGCACTTCCCTTAGTTAAGATATTTACAATTTGAAAACATAACCTAAAATTTAAAAGAAATGCACTAGATTCTGTCATAAAAGATTTTGTTTGAATTTACCTTCAGTACAGTGTTACCAGATTCTGTCAAAAAAGGACCGTACGTTTCGTTCGAATTTACCTTAATTACAAAATGACACAATGAAACAATGCAAATAAATGCAATTATGTCAAGTTGACGTTATTTAATATTGTCCATTGAGTCATTTTTGTAATTAAGGTAAATTCGAACGAAACGTACGGTCTTTTTTTGACAGAATCTAGTAACACTGCTTCAGTACAAAAATGACATAATCAACAATTAATAAAAACGCCAAATTGACAATTTGCATTGTTTATTTTGTCATTTTTGTAATTAAGCTAAATTTAAACAATGTTTGTCAACTTTTTTGAGAGATTTTGGAAACTATTGTTACCAACCATAACATAATAAATCCACCAGATTAACCTAAAGTTCCTAGTCAATTAGTGGCGTACTTTTTGGTTGGATAAAGGTTATTATAAATTATTTTTACACTTTGGAATTTAGAAAAAAAAGTTTCAGGTGCTTCTTTATGGACCCTAAGGAACAACCCATTTTAATATATAACATTAATTACATAACACCCTGTATTTGATGGTTACATGTAGGTATATAATTGCAATGAGCAATGTACATTGTACAATTGCAATTGAATCCTTATTTTTTATGCAAAATCATAAACAATTTCACTTATTTTGTTTTTACATCCCAATTACTAGTTGCTCCAGTTCAACTGCGTTTTTTTATGAAAATAAGAGACCTTTCGAACAAGGTATCCCCCGCTGGGATAGATCGAGTTGAGTTCCCCCTTCGAACCCTCGAAAAAGGTTTCTTAAATTTTATTTATCGGTTATCCTTTTAAAGCTATAGGCCATTGACAGTTTTCGGTGGTATATACTGTATGCATACAGCTGTAAGGAATTTTTTTAACTTTATTTTAAAAAAAATTTGATTAGTTATTGTTTATAAGTTTTTATTGTAATTTTTTTATTTCTTTGATTATTTGATAATGCTATACAAAAAATCGAATATTTTCAACACTGAAAAATTGGTTCTTAGGCACCTCTATAAAGTGCTCACTAAATTTGGGCTCTTAATATTAAAAGGAAGATCCTCCTAATCACAGTTTTCTATATTTTCTTTAATCCACTACCACTTTTTTTTTCAAATCGGGTTTAGGTCCGCCTAATTCTTTAATTTGTAGTTTTTCTTGAGCAAAAAACTACCTTTTTAAGATGCTAATTTCATTTATTGTCACACTAAAAGTTTATAATTAAAACCGCGTAAGCGTAAAGAAAGTCAAATCAAACGACTGAGCTGAGTCGCCGAGCCTGGCACAATATTTTCTTTGATTGATCATACATGATCCACGAAAAATCACTCTTCATTAGCGCCTGAATAAAATTGGCACAGCTTTGCCGTCGAAGTTCGAACCATTCGTGGCCCCGCTTTCGCGGAGGCGCACGCATTCGCAGTGCGAAATGTAATTTAAAATGAAATGCATTAAATTAAATATTATTAAGATTTTTTAAAGATAAAACATATTTTCTTGGAGAAAAATAAGGTGGGCCATGGCTCCGTAACACAAAATCACTGCTTTGACATCCTGTATATTGGTTATTATCAAAGACCGGATTTTAGGCCGTTAAAAATTTGAAATTAGGAGACTTAAATAGGCAATAAAAACCTACATTTTAGGCTGTTTTAGACCTAAAGTGCCAAAAATAGGCCTCAACCGCCTAAAATAGGATTTTAGGCCGTTAAAAATTGGAAATTAGGACACATAAATAGGCAAAAAAAACTACATTTTAGGCCGTTTTAGGCCCAAAGTGCCAAAAATAGGACTCAACATTGGCGTAACTAGCCATCTGACCCGGGAGGCCTAGGGTGGGCCTGTTATTTTGACTAGGTATCTTTAAAAAAGTAAAACAAATGTTGTCTCCAAAAGGCACAAATAACATTTTTTTTAACAAACAGTTTCAGTGAGAAAGGAAGTAAGTACTACAATGTGATCTTGAGGACGTGTCCAAATATAATTGATGACCGTTTGTACCGCGCATGACCGTTTGTTGTTATGAAAAGGTACAATTGCTATATACACCTTAAGTGTATGTGCGCATGTTGGGCGGGGCTTAAATACGTCACGTTGAGTATTTTTAAATCTTTAATTATCTGCTGCTATAATTCTTGTTTTTGCGATGCTGTTGGATGTTAACTTTTCTATTTTTAATTAACTTGTTGTTTTTGCGTTTAGTGAGGTTCGAATTACTTTTCATTGTTCAAATTATTGTTATTGCGTTGTGTTCTGTTGGTTTATTATTGTTTTTGTGTTGCGTTGAAACTTGTTTTGTTTGTGTTTTAGTTTGTGTCGTGCCATTTGCATTTATTAAAATGCGGTGTGGCATATTTGTATGCAATTTGGACAACCAGTCCAAGAAAAACCCTTTAAATAAAAACAAATTTCATCGATTCCCGAAAAACTTTGATTTTTGTAAACAGTGGTTAAATGCCATAAAAAGAATAGACAATATTAACGTTAAGACCGCTTCTGTTTCCTCTAAAGATTTTCTGGACAGTGACTATAAGTTTAATTTAAAACACCAACTCTTAAACTACACTCCTAAATGTTATCAAGGACTGAAAGAATCTATTATCCATATTATAACACTTTCTTTGATATTAATTTTAATAAAAACGCACTATGTCCAGATATTTCTCTATTTTCTTTGATAATATTATTCGTGTATTCGCACGGCAACTACTCATCAAGTGACGTCATGCGCGGCACGAACCAAAACTCGACCACGGGAGCATCCAGCCCGTGTTTTTATTTAAAGGGTTTTTCTTGCATCCAAATATGCCACACCGCATTTTAATAAATGCAAATGGCACGACACAAACTAAAACACAAACAAAACAAATTAACGCAACACAAAAACCATAATAAACAAACAGAACAGGTTAACACAACGTAATACATATATGGAAATTACAATAAAACCTATGAAAACAAAGTAAATAATAATGTTTAACCATTATTTTACTTAATATTATCCATAATTATTTATTATAAATATTTAGATATAACAAAAACACAATTACGTTTTTCATTAGATTTTCACTAGTTTTGTAATTTGTGGTCCTCGTACTCGCCAAGGCCGTCTAGGCGAAATAAGAGCAAGAAAGCAGGGCCTAATTAAAAATAATTTAATTTTTCGCATTGAAAAATATATTTTTTCTGAAAAATTAAAAGAGCCTATTTTAGGCTCATAAAAATTTCCTTTTGGAACCCTAAATCAAAATTTCGCCATTTTAGGCTTTTAGGCAAAAACAAAGGGGTGTCAAACGCTTTATTTTTTTAAGTTTAGGATTAATATCAAGGTCTCAAACAAATACCTAAAATAGAAACGAAAAGGCATTTTGCCTAAAATCCGGTCCTTGGTTATTATCAACTTTTGAACCTGGTAAATTTGGAAATTTGTAATATTTTTCCATAAGGAACCCGCAGTTTTGCTAGGTACTATTCAAGTTCAAGTTCAATTTTTTTTTAAATCCTTAAATTATTAAAAATTTTTAAGAATTTTATTAATTATAACTTTAGCTCTGAGACAATTTTTCGACAATTTGTCAATGGTAAGTTTCGATCAGGGGGTCGTGTTCTACAATGTACGTAAAACCTAGCTAAATCCACCTGGACATATTTTCTATAGGATTAGTGACGGGTCCATGGTATTTAAATATTTAATTACTTGAATTAATAAAACAGTTTTTTTTATCTTACTTTGTTTAAAAGACAAATTTAACAAAATAATTATTTTTATTAAAATAAGTAAATCCTATAGTAGAGTTTTGGCACTAAAATCTGGGACACCCTTATATATCGTGGATGAGCTGCAAATATTTCCAATGTGACTGAACAAGTAAATACTTCCTATATAGGTTTTTACAAAAAATTATCAAAAATACCAATACCTATAAAAAGTAACAATAAATATCATATATATTTATTTTTGCATATTTTAAAGGATTAGTTGTTTTCATTTTAAAATAATTATTTTTACATTGAAGATATTTCCAGCTTAATGACATATTTATACAGAAATAGACTAAAATATTTAATTATATGTATTTGGTTTAGTTAAGTCAACATTAGTTGACCGATTTAAACTACCTAGTGATACAATTTTACATTGAACAATAAAATATACATATGTATGTAAGAACATATTGGTTAGATACGCCAATGGCACTACACAATATTAAATAAATATAAAATTAAAATTTTAACACTGGTCTGCAACGAAATCCTCCTTCAAAAAATAACATCTTAAATATGAAGATTTTAATGCTCTGAATTTGTTTCTGTTGGCCGATTTTTTCTATAACGTCTAAATTTTGTGATATAAATTTTTTTTTCAAAATATAATAAATTTAGGTTTTTTAAATTCGTTGTATGCGTAAACATTATAAACAGTGTATATACATACAAAATAGGTTTTAGCGAGTCGTAAGAGAAAGAAGGAAAGTACCTAAAGCGATTTGTATCATAGAACCGCACTTGAAAACTTGTTTTAATTGCAATTGTTTACGTTCTGTATCAAATATTTTGATAAGTTTTGTACAAATGTATTTTATGTGTAGTTTATGTAAAACTTATGCCATAGTATTTTTTCACTCTTTTGTAATTGTTGTTACTTTAATAATATCGTTTTTAATTAAATGATCATAATATTTAAAATCTATGTGCTGTATTGATTTGCATGTAAAATTCCGTGTTTAGAGCACCAAATGTTATTTTAAATAAAATCAATAAGGAGAAAAAATATTTTTTTGCAGACCAGTGTAATAAGTAACACTGTATTAAGACTTAATATTAAAGTTAAAAAAAATAAATATGTTAACAATTTTCTAAAGTTTTTTGCAATATCACATTATTTTCGAACCGTGATCGAACATTTTTAAAACGTATAACCATTTTCAGATTATATACAATCTTGATGCATGGAACGGTGTGCTTTTATTCATCACAATTATAAGTGTGGCATTAAATGCCTTGGTATCTATGTTTACATCTGACTCAGTACATATAAGGGAATATTTAATGAATAATGAAAATTTAAGTGAATATTATAAGGACCATATGTCACTTTTTAATCAAAATGATATATTTGGTTCAGATCCTATATACAATCAGACATGCTACTACAGAGGCCAATTTTACCCATATAATCATCCGATGAAGTATAAATACACCATGGAACATTGGAGGTTAAGTGTTTATAAAAGTGTGGGTTTATTGATTTTTGAATTACTTGGCGGTACTATTATACTCAGTTTAAATGCACTAATAAATGTAATATTTAAGTCGACTGATAATGTACTGATAGATGGAACCGATTTTTTTGATTCGCAGAAGAAAAAGTATGAATCCGTTCAAAATTTATTTAAGGTTTCAAAGGATTGATTTATTTTAATTTAAATGTATATAAAAAATAAATATGTATTATATATATAGACCAGTACAATTTTTAAAAAATATATAAAATGTTGTTTTTATAAATTATTTTAAACTACGGCAACGTGCAAAATCATAAATTTAGTAAAAAAATTTATTGAGTCTGCGCAAGTGGATTAAAAATTCGTATCTTTTGTTAAAATCGTATTTTTGTTATTAGTTTAGATAAGGACTTAAGGCTACAAAAGGTTGTAAAAAAAATTACGTAATAGTTATTTATGTATTAAGGGCATAATAAGGTTTTTATGGTCCGAGGCGCTATTTCGAGCCCGAGCGCGTTAGCGCGAGGGCTAGAAAAGCGTCGTAGGACCATAAAAACCAGTTATGCCAGCAATGCATACAAAACTTTATGCACGATTAATATATTATTGTTTTTAAAGACGTTTACGTCAAAGAATTTTTGTTATATTTGTTATATTATAATGTCATCGTTGACATCAGTCAGTTTTAAAGTTTAAAGATGCATGAAATTGAGGAAGCAGCTGAAAAGGCGAAAAATTGCGGCCTGCTGCCGGAAAAATCAAAATCTTTATACGAAAAAACTTACTTCGAATATATCAAATGGTGTAACATAAGGACGAATAGTTTTGCGCCTATTGTTTTTAATTTTTGACGTTTCATTATAGCCCACTGGGTCATAATAACGCCCGCGGGCTATAAAAAGACAATTTTTGTTATAATTGTCATATTATAATGTCATCGTGCATAAAAATGATTATGTCCCAAGTCGACCGTCGTACACAGGCGAAAAACGTGGTTAACACCGGAAAAACCCAACAAAGAAATTCTTTAAAAAAGTAGAGTGTCGTTAGAGTCGTTAACTACCTGATTAATTATTATATTATGGAGAGTAAAAATATTTCAGTTAAAAGTAGACCAGAAAGGTGAGTAATGTAAAGTTAAAATCTCTTTAAAATATCATGTTGCTGGTGATAATTAAAAGCCTACAATATGTATATATTTAAAAAAATTGCCACAATTTTTTTATCGATTTTTTTAATTGTATTTGCACACAAATCGCATTTCAAGAAGTTTTTTAGGGCAAAAATTAAATTGTTTAACATTTATATTATATTCGTTTTATACTTTAGTGTCCTTTTTTAGATTTATAAAAAATTTACTGTGATATAAAATGGCATTTTTGCATTAGAGAATGAACCTTGTTTTGCTAATGACAACGAACAAAAAAAATTACTCGAGAATTCAAATGAATTTTACAATCGAGCACCAAACAAAATTTGTTTGGAAATTGTATCCCACAATTTAAAAAATTACTAATAATGTAACATTTGACATTAACAATTATTTTATTTGACATGTATTTTTTTTTTGCAAGCATGCTTCCTGAAAAATTAATTAAATTTGCTGGTTGTAAGTGGCTATATTGATAAATTCTGCAATCTTTTTTTTTTTATAAGGCATAATTTGTTTTTGATACAAGATATTATTTTGCATCATGCTTAATAAAAGAAGAATTTATTTGACAATTTTGATATAAAAAATTCTTCTTTTATTAAGCTATAAAAATTAGATAAATTACGCAAGAAATATTTTATAAAGGTATAGATAATTTTAATAATTGACAGGTCCCATCCACATCTTTCAATTATTAAAATTATCTCTACTTTTATGAAATATTTATTGGGTTTTTTTTATATAATGTTCAGCCTAATAAAAGAAGAATATTTTTGACAATTTTGATGCCAAAATATCATAAAAATTTTTTTGTAATTTGTGCATTTCGCGCGATTGAAATGGCCGAAGTGTGATTATTTAGTGGGTAAAGTGTACGTAGTAAAAAGTAATTAATGTTTAGTTTAAAATTATGGTTAACATAGAGACCCTTAACCTATAAAGGGTTAAATTGGCAATTTTATAAAATAATTTTTTTTTAAATATTTTACGGTTTTTTTATGCTATTTTATGCTTAAAGGATTGAAAGGAGGAGGGGCGTAGTTTTAAAAACTATGCACTATTTTTAATTTCAAAAAAATAAACATACACTAGATTTCTTAAAAATTTGCCTGTGTGCGTGTCGACTGCCCACATAAGGCCGAACGTCTAAATTATCTCACCAAAACACTTCGCGTCAAATTTAACGCACCACTAAAAATTTGCCACAATTTTAAAGTGGATTCTTTTGCGACCGACAAACCGAATTTGGTAGTGTTTATTTTAATTGTAGGTTTATTCTTTGGTTATGATGCCTTTATTAACATATTTTTTCAAATTTAAGAGTAATAATAAGTTTTTTTCCTATAAATTTGAAACGCCCTGTAGTTTGTACCAGCTATAACAGTATATGTATCTTATAATCAAACTATAGCCCCATCTTCTCTTAACATTTTTTTTTTAATTCACCGCGTTATCTTTATTTTTAAAAGAAATATACAGTTAAATATTAAAGAACTCCAGTTTAATAAAAAAATGTAAAAAGAACGATTGTAACAATAACAATAAAAATATGAACAAAATCAATAAAACCAACATTAAAGAATATATATATCGCGTATTTCCGCCTCTACTTCTAATTACGGATTTCATCGACTCGAAACCAGATGTATAATCTCGCCTTGATCAATGACATTCCATATTTCTCGTAGCATATTTGCTACGTCATTAAGGGAGGGAGGCAAGAAATATGATTTCTTAGTCGGCAGCCCACTGTCGGCTACCCATATTATCCCAAAAATGCTCAATGGGGTTGAGAAAGTTTCAACACCCACCTCATGTAAGTACATACAATATATGAGCGGTGTAAGGTCTTGCGTTATCCTGCATCAGTAAAAAATTATTACCGACAACATGCTCAGATAAAATGTCCTCGATATGTCGTACTCTATTTATGGTACCTTCACGAACAATAACGAGTTCTGTGCGAGCTGTCAAGGAAATTCCTCCCCAAACCATTACAGAACCTCCATTAAATAGCGTGGTTTCACGAATGTTACACTGAGAAAATCTCTCATTTGGACGTAGGAGAAACCTTACTCGCCGATCAGAGCTGAATAAACAAAACCTGGACTCGTCTGTAAATAGTACAAGCTGCGAATCCTCAATATTTCAGCGTTGATAAAATGGTTGTAAATTAGGCGGATTCAAAAAAATCGATTATTATTTTACTGAAAATATTATTATATAATATTATTTAATAATATCTTTACCCATTTTACCTGAAACTGGATAACAAATTGTAATTATACTATGAATTTACTCCAGTATCACAAAATATTGGTCCTATATGGGGCGCGTCTATGCCCAATATTTTATATGGGGCCAATATTGAATTTATTTAGTCCTATATTGTCATAAAATGACATGTCCATGTTTTTAAACTCAATAAAACGCCAATTTAATAAGCATGTTTTATAATCATATTTTGTTATTAATGTAAATACTTGGTAGGTAAATAATAAAAAGTTTTTCCCCAAAATTATTGTTAGGTAAAATTTGTTAAAGTATAATACAATATAATTTTATGAACTTTACCGTGTAGTTTTAAGTTGTAGGTATAAAAAAGACATTTGGTGGATGTTTTAGTTTATGAATGTAGTTGTCGTGCTGTAAGCATACCATCAGAAAATTTTAAATTTTTGTATACTTATACTAAAAATTTTTGACCGTCCAATTGTTTATAAATAACCGTTTAAAATTCAACAATTTGTAAAAAGTATACATCACTAGTGTCAGATAAAAACAAGGCTGTACGCGAGTATAGATATTATTTCCGCAGTAAATTCAAACGAACTGATTCAGTCTCCAATATATCTATTGGTTGAGCATAAGCGACGTTGCCGGATTAAAACTTATGAAAATATTTAAAAGTATTACGTAAAGGTAACGTCTCCAGGGTACAGTCTTGCGAACAAATTATGAATCACTTAGCTACAAGCTCGTATACTTTTACGGTGCATATACTCTCTGACAATATTGTACCACGACAACTACCTTAATTCAATAATTATTCTAGTTATAATTTAATATATTATGTAATTTATGAAGAATAACGACTCTAAACCTTTAATAAACTGTAATGGTACATCCAGTAATATATATTCTCATGATGTTCATTTATTTTTCAACGAAGATACTACGACTCCCTTAAAATAGTATGCTCTATAAACCAAAGGGGGAAACATGGGGACGAGTAATTTACTTTTTTAAATTAGATATGTTATCCAAACAGCAAATAAATTGTGGTGTACTCGTGGGAACTTTTTTATAACTCTAGCGAAAGTAAACCTTTTAATTATTTTTTATTAAAAAGACTTTTTTATAAAATTTATATTTCAATTGTTCTATGTACAATTGGTTTGTTAACAATTATTGCATATTAAAGTACAAACCGGGTGCTTTTTAATTCATGTATAAAACTTAATTTTACATTTGGAACCATAGGACGAGCTAGTTATCCTAAAACTTCAGAAACATAAAATACATAGTGGCTGCGCCAAAGATAAGCCAACTTTGCGATGATGCTATTGTGTTGTGTTAAAAAAAAATCTTATATTTTATTGTAGCCTGGTCTATTACCAACCTTTTGATGATACTTGTGATCAGTCTGATGTAATTTCGTTTTTCTATTTTTGGCGCGCTAATTTAGACATTCGGCCTTGTGTCAGTGTTCAGCCAACATAGACGGTCTATGATAGACCAGCCGTTGTTTTTAGTAATCGGCCCGCCATTAGTGGAAGACTATGGTTATTAATTGTGGAACAAACATGCAAAAACCCATAAAACCATTTTTACGTCTATGATAGACCAGCCGTTGTTTTTAGTAATCGGCCCGCCATTAGTGGAAGACTATGGTTATTAACTGTGGAACAAACATGCAAAAACCCATAAAACCATTTTTACGTTTTAAGAGTAAAGTACGGATTCCTACCAATTTTGGTGAACACTTTTGACTTGGCACAGCATTTTAAGGAAAAACCGAAACAGAGATAACCCAACAGGAGCAACATTCCCTTTTAATAGTTAATAAATATTTTGGAGGCTCGGCTGT